GTCTAGTGTGCCATTTTTTTTATTGACTTCAGAGAGCGGAAGGGAGAGGGAGAGATAGAAACATCAATAAGAGAATCATTGACTGGCTACCCCCTGCACGTCCCATACTGGGATCAAGCCTGCAACCTGGGCATGACCGGGAATTGAACTGTGACCTCCTGGTTCACAGGTCGATGCTCAACCACTGAGCCACACCAGCCGAGCTGTTGTGTCATTTAAGTCTGCTATTTCCTTTTGGATTTGTCTGGAAGATCTATCCATTGATATCAATGGGGTGTTAAAATCCTTATATAACTATATTACTGTCGATCTCTCCCTTTTTGTCCATCAAGATTTGCTTTACCTATTTAGGTACTCCTATGTTGAGTGCATAAATGTTTATAAGGGTTATATCTTCTTGATGGATTGATCCCTTTATCATTATGTAGTGTCTTTCTTTGTCTCTTAGTATAGTCTTTTTTTGAAATCTGTTTTGTCTGCTATAAGTATTGCTACCCCAGCTTTTCTATTTCCATTGGTATAAAATATCTCTTTTTATTCCTTTACTTGCAATCTGTGTGTGTCTTTCATTTGAGGTGGGTGTCCTGTAGTCAGCATATATATGGGTCTTGTTTTCTTTACCATTTTGCTACCATATGTCTTTCAATGGGAGAAGTTAATCTATTTACATTTAAAGTAACTACTGATAAGTACATATTTATTGCCATTTTATTCTTTATAACCATGTTCCTTTTTTCTTTCTTTCTTCTTAAAGAAGATCCTTTAACATTTCTTGTAAAACTGGTTTTAGTAGTAATAAGCTCCTTTAGCTTTTTTTTGGGGGGGGGGGGTGATCTGGGAAGCTTTTTATTTAACCTTCAATTTTAAATGATAGCCTTGCTGGTTAGAGTAGTCTTGGTTGTAGGTCCTTGCTGTTCATCACTTTGAATATTTCATGCCAATCATTTCTTGCCCAAAATGTTTTTGTTGAGCAATCAGCTGACAGCCTTATGGGAGTTCCTTTGTAGGGAACTGTCTTTCTATGCTGTTCTTAAGATTCTCTTTAACTCTTGCCATTTTAATTATGATTTACCTTGGGTTCATTTTGATTGGGCCTCTCTGCGCTTCCTGGACAGGTGTGTCTTTTTCCTTCACCAGATTAGGGACGTTTTCAGCCATTGTTTCTTCAAATAGGTTCTTGATCCCTTGCTCATTCTCTTCTCCTTCTGCTACCCTAATGATGAACACATTGGTATGCTTTTTGTTGTCCCAAAGGTCCCTTAGACTTTCCTTATATTTTAAAATTCTTCTTTCTCTTTGTTGCTCTGATTGGGTGTTTTGTTATCTTGTCCTCTAAATCGCTGATTAGATTCTCTGCTTCATCCAACCTGCTGATGATTCCTTCTAGTGTATTCTTTATTTCAGCTATTGTGTTCTTCATTTCTGACTGGTTCTTTTTATGGGGTCTATGTCTTCTTTAGTGCTTACTATCTCTTTAAGTTCTCACTGAGATAATTTATTCTTCCCCTAAATTCATTGAGTATTTTAATAACCATTGTTCTGAATTCTACATCTGGTATCTTGGTTGCTTCCATTAAATTCTTTTTCTGGTGATTTCCCTTGTTTCTTTCATTTGGGGCATTTCTTTGTCTCCCCATTTTGTCTGCCATTTTGTGTTTGTCTCTATATATTCGGTAGATCTGCTATGATTCCCAAACTTGTTATGGTGGTTTTGTTTTAAGTGTCTTTGTGGGCTCAGTGTACTATCTTCCAGATCACCTGAACTAGGAGCTCCAGGAATGTCTCTTGTGTGGCTTATATGAGCCTTCCTGTTGTGATTGAGTCTTGAATGCTGTTAGTTGTTCATTAATGGTGTTAAGTCACAGGCTGTCTATTAGGATTGACCCTAACCACACTGTATGAGCTTCTATGTGTTCAAGGTACAGTTGGCCCCAGTAGGGTCTGGGGTGGGCCTACCTTTGGGTGTGCCACTTGTGTGGCTAGTTGGGTTGTGTTTTGGTGTGGTCTGAAGCCCATCAACTGGCTTTGGGCTATCTGTCTGGAGCTACCAAACAATTCAGTCAGTGGCTGCTTCTACTGGGCCTGGGTGTGTATGGGAGGGGTCACGCTGTGTACAAAGGTCAGTTTCCCACAGTCTCTTCCACAAAGTGTGAGCTCTATAGAGTGGGGTGATCAAAGTCAGGAGGACAGGGCTAGTGGTCCTCTTGCTTGGAGACAGCACGGTCAGGCACTCATTGGGGGGGTGAGGGTAAGTGGCCCCTACTCCAGAACCCATACTGTACTCCACCTGAGTCTCTGACCCTAGCTCCCTCAAAAAGAGTACACCGCTGGTTCAGGCTAGTATAGCCAGCTGACCCCTCTGCAAGACTCAAGCTCAATAGGGCGGGGTCACTGGGAATCAGACAGGACAAGTGGACAGGAAGGGCACTGGCAGCACAATGGAGGTTATGGATGGTTCCTACTCCAGAGTTACAAAGATCAGTGTTTGTCTGAGTCTCTGCCAAGAGCTTCTCAAGTAAAAGAGTGCACTGAAGGTCCTAACTGGGTGCAGCCAGCAGATGTTTCTGCAGGACTTAAGCTTGGCAGAGTGGAGCCACCAGCAGTTGGAAGACTGAGATAGTGCACTCCCCAGGCTGGTGCTATAAGGATAAGAGTGCTCTACCTTGAAAAGATGGTGTCTGAGGGCGGTATGGGATAGGGACTCAGCACAGATCATTCCTCAAAACCATGACATCAGATCTCTTTATGACTCCTGTATGCCCTGAGTCACCTTTTCTCTACTGGAGTTATGGGTGAGAAAAAGACCCTGTGTGCTGGCCCTTGAAGAGAATGCCTGGGTTTCTAGAAAACTCCCATCTCTCCCAGGTAGGCAGAATCCCCACTGATTTTCATCACCAGATGTTACGCAGGTGCCTTTTCCTGGCCCTAGTGCTCTGGATTAGAACCTCTCGCTACTCAGGGGGACCTTTGCAGCTGAGCTATCCCTCCAGATTCTTAATTGCCACAAGTGGGTATGAGGCCAGCTCTTCCATCATCTCTGCCCTTATTACCAGTCTCAGTGTGGTTTCTTCAGTAGATCTTTGGTTATAATACTTCCATCGAACTAGCCTTCAGTTGTTTTTTCAGGTTGACTAATCTATAATTTAATTGTAATGGAAGCAATAATTATGCAGCAACTGCTGAACATACAGAGTAAAATTTAGTACAAGGAATCTGAAAATACCTTTTTAAATGCCATGTTATACAATCTCTCAATTTGTGTTTTGATTGGCAGCACCATATTTGAGTTCTTCAAAATCACACAAGTAAAAATTAGTCTTTTCTGTCTATGGAAAAAAATTTTTTAAAAAATTTAGTTGTGAATCTGATTTGGTGCTGGGAGGAGGTGAGTGTATTCACCTACTCTGCAGCCATCTTGGGATCCCATTTATTTTTAACCAATTTGTATTTCTGAATCTAAAGAAGTGTGTGGCTTTGATCGGTTTGGCTCAGTGGATAGAGCATCGGCCTGCGGACTGAAGGGTCCCAGGTTCGATTCCGATCAAGGGCATGTACCTTGGTTGCGGGCACATCCCCAGTTGGGGGTGTGCAGGAGGCAGCTGATCGATGTTTCTCTCTCATCGATGTTTCTAACTCTCTATCCCTCTCCCTTCCTCTCTGTAAAAAATCAATAAAATATATTTTAAAAAAAAAGAAGTATGTGTCCTACAGACAACAACCAATTGGATCTTGTTTTTTATAATCCAGTCTAAAGTCACAATGAGATACCAGATACCAGGAAAGACTGAAATATAAATTATGAAGGTAAATAAAATAAATCTTTTCAATCACTGATGATGGGTGTGCAAATTATCAAAAACTTTAGAAAAGTGTTTGACATTATCCTCTAAAAATGAAGATATATATCCTATATAATAAAGAGCTAATATGCAAATGGTCGTCATGCCCTCAGGCCCTCGCACCGGGGCCAGGGGACCTGAGGCCATGCCCCCTGCCTGGTGCCGGGCCAGGGGACCTGAGGCTGCACGCCACCCCCCCCCCGCCCCCGCCCTGCAGGGCTTGAAGGGGTTGGGGCCAGCCAGATCTGGGTTTCGTGTGATTTCGAGGCACGCACAGGTGGGCGAGGACTTGACTTTGGGTCCTGCAGTACGCCCCAGACCCTGACAGGAGGGAGATTTTCATATACATTAAGGGCAAATAGCAATATTAAAATATTTCCTCTAATTAATTGCCTTTTAATGTGCATGAATTTCGTGACCAGGCTACTAGTATATATGTGTGTGTGTGTGTGTGTGTGTGTGTGTGTGTGTGTGTGTGTGTGTGCCCTAAAAATTCCATTCCTGTATGTAGGTACAGCAGAAATACATTTACATATACATCAGGAGGTAGCATTACTCATCATAGCCCCAAACTAGAAATAACTCAAATGTACACAAACACAATAGATGAATAAATTATGGTAAAATCATATATTGAACACTAAGTAACAAGAGAAATATAAGGATATTAATTTACATATAACAGACATACATTTCACACATATAATGTATAGCAAAAGGAGTAAAATACAAAAAATAAACACTGTATGATTCCATTTATACAAAGTTTAAAATTTTTCAGGCAAAACTATAGTGTTGAGAAAAAGATATATAAATTGTAAAAGTGGAAGGAAAATGTAATACATAGTATTAGTGTTCTAGTTCTTCATTCAAGTAGCATTACAGATATTTGCTCTACAGTAAGTATATCACCAAATGGTAGGTTTATGTTTTGTACACTTTTCTATATGTGCTATGACTCACAATAAAAAGGCATAAAAAATAAACTCAGTAAAGATTCCTTGTCTTCCATACCAATATGTTATGGATACTTAATTTTCCTTCAAATAATCAAATTACTATCCTTATTCCTTGAATCTACCCCAAAGTCCCATGCATGCATAAGTGCGTGCATGTACACACACGTGCGCACACACACAAACACACAAACTCTTTTCTTACCTCAACCAGGTTCTGTAAAATCCAGGCTAATCTCAAAGAAACATGCTGGGTTGTGAAAGTGAACAAACTGGCTGCTAAAAATCGTTTACTTCTAGTGAAAAAGTGAAGCATTCGGCAGGAACTGTGTATTAGCTATTTTAAAAAAATTAGAAAAAGACATTTAATAATAGTGCTTGACGTTTCTATTTTAATTCCATATACATGCAAACAAACCCAATAACATATTATTTAACTACTTAAAGAGTGTTCTCAGGATGTAAGAAAATCAAGTAGGCTCCAGTACTTATAAAAGTCTTTTTAAAATACCTATTTTCTACCTCTTTACCTATTTTTAATTCTGGAAGTGAGGGGAGAGAGTCAAGGGAGAAGGCTATATTGCTAATTTTTAATAATATATTTTATTATTTTAATAACATATTGCTATTATTTTGAATAACATATTTTAATCAATCTAGTATGAAACCAGAAGGAATTTTCCCTACACATTAAATACTTAAAATTGGGGTATATTATTTTAATACTGCCTATAATTACCTAATGATCAAAAATGAAACATATACAATTTAAAATGTACTCTTTCTTTATGTATGCATATATTATTTTTCTCTTTATTTTTTATTATTTTTAAATTTAATTTATTTTTTCCCATCACCATTTATCTCGTCTATGCCGTCTTCCACCTCCACCCCCTAATCACCACAATGTTGTCCATGTCCATGAGTTTCTTTCTTTTTTTTTCTCAATCCTTCCACCCCAACACCTCCCAAATAAGCCCACACCAAGACACATTATAATTAAAATGTCAAAAATTAAAGACAAAGAGAATATCGTAAAAGCCGCAACAGAAAGGCAATCAGTTCCCATATGAGAGTTTCCATAAGACTGTCAGCTGATTTCTCAACAGAACATTTAAGGTCAAAAGGGACAGGCATGAAAGAAATATTCAATGATGAAAAAACAAGGACCTTCAATCAATGCTACATTACCCAGCAAGGCTATCATTTAAAATCAAAGGAGAAATAAAGAGCTTCCCACACAGGAAAAAAATAAAGGAGTTTGTTACCACTAAATTAGCATTATAGGAAATGTTTCAGGGCTTGCTTTAAGAAGTGGAAGAAGCCATAGCCAGTTTTGCTCAGTGGATAGAGCATCGGCCTGTGGACTGAACGGTCCCAGGTTCGATCCTGGTCAAGGGCATGTCCCTCGGTTGCAGGCTCCTCCCTGTCAGGGCACATGCAGGAGGCAACCAATTAATGTTTTTCTCTTACACTGATATTTCTCTCTGTCTTTCCCTTTCTCTTCCACTCTCTCTAAGAATAAATGGAAAATTATCCTCAGGTGAGAATTTAAAAAAAAAGAAGTGGAAGAAGAAGACAAAGAAAAAAAAGGAACAAAGTTTAAAAAATAACATGGCCATAAATACATACCCATAAATAATCACTTTAAATGTAAACGGCTTAAATACTCCAAATCAAAAAGACATAAGGTAGCTGAATGGATAAGAAAACAAGATCCATGATTATGCTGTCTTCAAGAGACCCACCTCAGAGCAAAAGATACACACCAATTAAAAGTAAAAGGATGGAAAAAGATATTTCATGCAAATGGAAAGAAAAAAAAAGCTGGGGTAGCAATACTTATATCTGACAAAATAGACTTTAAAACCAAGGATATAGTAGGAGCCAAGGAAGTATACAATATAATGACAAATGGATCAATTCAAAAACAGGACATAACCCTTGTAAACATTTATGCACCCAACATAGGAGCACCTAAATATGGAAAGCAAGGCTTGATGGACATAAAGGGAGAGATTGACAGTAATATAGTTATAGTAGGAATTTTAATATCCCATTGACATCAATTGATAGATCTTCCTGACAGAAAATCAATCAATAAAGAGATGGAGGCCTTAAATGACACACTAGATCAGAAGGACTTAATTGATATCTTCAGAGCATTTCACACCCAGGTAGCAGAATATACATTCTTTTCAAGTGAATATGTAACATTTTCTAGAATAGACCACATGTTAGGACACAAAACAAGTCTCCATAAATTTAAAAAGACTGAAATTATATCAAGCATCTTCTATGACTATAATGCTATGAAACTTAAAATGAATCACAAGAAGAAAATTGAAAAAACACATAAAGACATGGACGAAAAATAACATGTTACTAAACTATGAATTGGTTAATAATGAGATCAAGGAAGAAATCAAAAGGTACCTTGAAACAAATGCAAATGAGAACACAACAACTCCAAATCTGTGGGGCACAGGAAAAGCAGGCCTAGCTCAAGGGGGAAAAAAAAAGCTCAAATAAACACTCTAACTTTACACTTAAAGAAACTTGGAAAAGTATACCAAACAAAGCCCAGAGTGAGTAGAAGGAAGGAAATAATAACAGAGCAGAAATAAGTGAGATAGAGTCTAACAATACAAAAGATGAATGAGACAAAGAGATGGTTCTTTGAAAAGATAAGATTGACAAACCTTTAACCAGATTTATCAAGAAACAAAAGGAGAGAAATTAAAAAGAAGTAATGATACCAAAGAAATACAAAGGATTGTTTTAAAAAAAAAGTATTATGAACAACTCTATGCCAACAAATTGGACAACCTGGGAGAAATGGATTAAGTTCCTAAAAACATACGACATTCCAAAACTAAATCAAGAAGAATCGGAGAATCTGAACAGACAGAATACTAGTGAAATTCAAGCACTAATCAAAAATCCCCCAACAAACAAAAGCTCTGCACCTGATGGCTTTACAGGTGAATTTTACTAAACATTCAAAGAAGAACTAACACCTATCCTTCTCAATTAACCCAAAAAATTCAAGAGGAGGGAAGAGGCCAGCATTATCCTAATTCCAAAACCACAAAAGGTATGACAAAGAAAGAAAATTATAGGCCAATATCCATGATGAACACAGATGTTAAAATCCTCAACAAGATATTAGTAAACTAAATCCAGCAATACATTAAAAAGATCATACACCATGATCAAGTGGGATTTATTCCAGAGATGCAAGGTTGGTACAATATCCACAAAACATTAAACATGATACACCACATAAACAAACTGAAGGATAAAATATGGTCATATCAACAGATGCATAAAAAGCAGTTGATAAAACCCAGCACCCATTTATGATAAAAACTCTCAGCAAAGTGAGAATAGAGGGAACATAGCTCAATGTAATTAAAAGCCATGTATGACAAACCCACAGCCAACATCATACTCAATGGGCAAAACCTGCAAGCATTCCCCTTAAGATTGGGAACAAGGCAGGGATGTCCACTTTCACCACTCTTATTCAACACTATAGGCCGGTGCACGAATTCGTGCATGGGTGGGGTCCCTCAGCCTGGCCAGAGATTGGGGCCAATCGGCCAGGGGGGAGGGGCTGCAGGAGGTGGGCCGGCTGGAAGTACGAAGGGAAGGGGCTGCAGGAGGTTGGCTGGCCACGGGAGGTTGGCTGTGGGAGTGCAATGACCACCAGGGGACAACTCCTGTGTTGAGTGTCTGCCCTCTAGTGGTCAGTGCGCATCATAGCGACCGGTTCGGTCATTTAGGCTTTTATATATATAAACTAGAGGCCCGGTGCACAAAAATTTGTGCACTGGCGGGGGGGGGTGGTGTTCCTCAGCCTCACTTGTGCCCTCTCACAGTCTGGGACCCCTCGGGAGATCACGACGTGCTGGCTTAGGCCCGCTCCCGGGTGGCAGAGGGCAGGCCCAATCCCTAGGTGCAGCCCCTGGTTGGGCTCAGAGCAGGGCCGATTGGGGGGTTGGGGCGCCGCCCCCTGTCACACTCAAGGCAGGGTCGATGGGGAGGTTGCCGCACCACCCCCTGTCACGCACAGAGCAGGGCCAATCAGGGGGTTGGGGCGCTGCCCCCTGTCACACACAGAGCAGGGCCCATCAGGGGGGTTGGGGCTCCATACCCTGTCACACACAGAGCAGGGGCGATCAGGGGGTTGGGACGCCGCCCCCTGTCACCCACAGAGCAGGGCCGATCAGGGGTTGGGGAGCTCCCCCCTGTCACGCATACAGTAGGGCCGATAGGGGAGTTGGGGCACCGCCCCCTGTCACCCACAGAGCAGGGCTGATCAGGGGGTTGGGGCACTCCCCCCGTCACACTCAGGGCAGGGCCGATGGGGAGGTTGCGGCTCCACCCCATCACACACAGAGCAGGGCCCATGGGGGGGTTAGGGCGCCGCACCCTGTAACACACAGAGCAGGGCTGATCAGGGGGTTGGGGAGCTCTCCCCTATCAGACACAGAGCAGGACCGATCAGGGGGTTGGGGCGCCTTCCCCTGTCATGAACAGAGCAGGGCGGATAGGGAGGTTGTGGCCCCGCCCCCTGTCACACACAGAGCCGCAGGGCGATCAGGGGGTTTGGGCTCTGCCCCCTGTCACGCTGCGCCAGGGGCCAGGAAGCCTCGCAGCTCTGCTGATCCCAGTGCAGGGAGGCCTCATGGCTCCGCTGATCCCAGTGCTGGGAGGCCTCGCTGCTCCGCTGATCCTGGTGCTGGGAGGCCTCACGGCTCCGCTTGACACAGGGGCAGTGAGGCCTCACTGCTCCGCTGATCCCGGTGCCAGGAGGCCTCGCTGCTCCGCTGATCCCGGTGCTAGGAGGCCTCGCGGCTCTGCTGATCCCAGTGCCAGGAGGCCTCGCGGCTCCGCTGATCCCGGTGCCAGGAGGCCTCGCCGCTCCGCTGATCCCGGGGCGTGAGGCCTCACGGCTCTGCTGATTCCGGTGCTGGGAGGCATATTAGCCTTTTACTATATAGGATAGAGGCCTGGTGCACGGGTGGGGGCCGGCTGGTTTGCCCTGAAGGGTGTCCTGGATCAGGGTGGGGGTCCCACTTGGGTGCCTGGCCAGCCTGGATGAGGGGATGATGGCTGTTTCCAGCTGGTCACACCCCCTTCAGGGTGGGAGTCCCCATTGGGGTGACTGGCCAGCCTGGGTGAAGGGATGATGGCTGTTTCCAGCTGATCACACCCCCTTCAGGGTGGGGGTCCCCAATGGGGTGACGGGCCAGCCTGGGTGAGGGGATGATGGCTGTTTCCAGCTGATCACACCCCCTTCAGGGTGGGGGTCCCCACTGGGGTGCCTGG